TCCTTCCCGGGTAAAGAGGGGCAGCTGTTGATACCCAATTTTTCCCTGTATATTTTTATATGAAAAATAATTTCAAAATAGTATATCTATGCATATATATAAGTGTGTCCAAATGTTTTAGTATTTTTCCTAATTTTTAAAAAGATTTTTTAAATCAATTTATTGTCCATTTTAGCAGTACATAAACCAATAATTATTCTCAAAATTGTCATTTTTTGGTGAGTAACTTATTTTATTCTCATTTTTATACCAAAATAGAGCTAAGGTAATTTTTATACATTTTTTACAAAATATTTAGTATTTTAAAAGATAAATTGCATGTAATTGCAATTTTAGCCTATTTTAAGAATTAATAGCATTTTATAAGTATGAAATTGGTTCCAATATTTTTAAATTAATATTTATATATTACTAAATGATCCAGTACTTTTAATTTGCTTTCAAAATCATTTTTTACTATTTTTATATAATAGAAAGGGAAAACTGGCTATTTAAAATCTGGCCTCGTTTTATTCCAATTATAGCCAAAATTGGCTCCCCTAATTGACCCAATTTCGAACCCAATTTTGGACCAGCCCAATCCCATTTAACCCAACCCTTAACCCGTTTTATATTCCCCGACCCAATCCCTTTTGATCTGGGCCGTTGATCTCTGAGATCAACGACTCCTATCCACCCTTCCATAATTAAACCTAAACGACTACCCTAATCCCTCATTCTCTTCTCTCAGCCGCCTCCAAACACTCTCCTCTCTTAAACTCTCTCGAAGGTTCCTGAAACCCTAATCGTCTTCTACCTCAAACTCACCGGAATCCATGGCCTCTCAGGCCATGGATGGCCTACACTCATCTCCCTCTGCTCTTGAACGCTTGGTGTTCGAAGTTTCGAGGTCTGACCTCGATGGTGTTCGTTCTGATCTTCTCCGATACAAGGGTCTATGGCCTCTCCGACCTTGCTCCGCCGTATCCAAGCATTATGAGCCTATGTCTGACTTATCCGACTTAGATTGGACCTTTTCCAAGCCTTTCTCGCTTTAGGGTTCCTCTGAAACCCTAGCTATTCGAGATTTTCTCCGATTTTTTTCTTAGATTTGTTCTATATCTGTGCTTTACTTGAGTTTTTAAAACGTTTTCCCCAATTTTTCTTTCAAAATTACTTCTTTCCAATTTAGGGTTTCCTAAAAAGCTTAAAATGTTTCTCTGACTTTTCTTTTCTTCGTCTGTATTTGTCTATACTATGTTCTTATGTTTTCTTTCTACTGTACATGTTCTTCTGTGCCTTATTTTTCTACTGTGTTTCTACACCCTGCTCGCATGTTCATCCTGCTGTGTTTTTCCTTTATGTCTTGTTGATATACTTTCCTGGTATTTTGTGTTCTCCTACTGTATGCATCTCCTACTGAGTTCTTAAGTTCTTTGATTGCCTTTTACTGGACCTTGTTTGAGTTCTCTCTTTAAACGTGTTTCTTCTACTGTTTCTTTAAGTGTTATACTACCTCTTTTCTCTTCTGAACTTGTTTAAGTCCCAGGTTTTTTTTTCTCAAACATGTTCCTTCTACCCTCACTATGCTTCAAATCAGTTTCTTCAATCTGTTGTTTCAAACTTGCTATTGTATCTTCTTGTTTTCTCATAAGTCTTTGAAAGAGACCTCTGAGCCTGTTTCGATTATTTGTCTCCTCGTCTCTGTATCTGATTCGAGTTGGAAACCCTAGGATTTGGGGGTTTTGGCGAGTTTTGATCTTGTGTTTGGACTAGGGTTCTATTTTGGAACCCTGGACTCTCTCAGACTCATTCTGAGTCTATGAACTAAGTTTGAATCTCTTTGTTTACGACTCTGAACTTTTAAATTCTTCTACTGATTAGCATGGTAGTTCTTCGTGCTTAAGCATGGCTGTGTGTTTTTATATGTGTGATAAATTCTTTCTTTCGAAAAGGTTTTCCAACTTATGATTCAGAATCCTTTTTTAGGTTTAATTGATTAGTAATGATTTTCCTTAAGTCAAGATCTTTCCCATCTTCCTGACCTGGTTCATTCACAGGAAATCTTCAATTTCTGATTTTACTAGCTGTTGATTGATTGCCTTTCCTTATTTGCACAAACCGTGTGCTATCAGACTTTTTCCTTAAATAAATCTCTGTGTATTTACCCTTCTTGTGTTGCTTTGGAAAAGTGTTTGATCAACCTCTTTCCTTAATTATTTTACCCGTTTGAAATCAGAACCCCTTAACTAAAAGGAAACTTGTGTAATTGATTGAAAACTGATTTTTTTTAATTATTCTCCTACCTTATTCTGCTTGCCTTCTACACTATAAAAAGGGAACGATTCCTTTCTCACCAACACACCTTGAATTCGACACTTTTCAGACACTTTCAATTACACAACTCTCAATTCAACACTTTTACACATATAATCTCGTAGATCTCTTCTAAAATCTTCAGACTATTTGCTTGCAATTTGGCTTTACAAGACTACCGCTTTCTTTTCTTGTTTCCCTGAAACTGGTATGTTCTAATTTAGTTTTCAGCCTCATCCCAATGTGTTTATGTTACAGTTTCTACAATCCTGTCTACTTTGCTATCTACCCTTAGTGTTAAATATGTATGTTGTTCTCTTTGCATCTGTTTCTGCTGTGAATCCCTGTACCCCTATTCCCTTCTATGTGTTTGAGTTAAAGTTCAGAACATGGCAACATCCAAATTGTTGCACATGTCTGGACTTGATCCTTTAAGGGATCCTAACTCCCAAACAATGTGGCTAACAGGCTGGTTGGGGTATGCCAGCACTTCCAATTGCTGGGTATGACCACCAGCCTATCTCTGCTTCCCCCCAGAATCCCCTCTTTGCACTTACACTGTCTCCTATCTTCTATGTTCTGCCCCCCTCCTATGAGCCTTGCTTTGGGACCTTGAGTTCCCTCTGAACTTGGACATTTGAGGGCTGGCCCTTCCACACTGCACTATAACTCAATTCTGCAATGTATTTGGGTGTAAGCACTGCCCGGAGTCCGTCTGAGATTCTTAGGGAACTTTGATATATCCCAAATAAGAGAAAGGCTTTGGATCTTGATCTTTGGAATTGGTTTACTTCATGCTTCAGGCAGGAAACCTGAATCAGGCTCTTCTTTGTTTTTAATTTTATTTTTTTATGATGTAATTTCTTTTTTTTATTTTGGTCTGTAATAATCTTGTAATAACTATTGGGGTTTTTAGTGAAAAGGGGAGGGTCAATCATGCATGCAAAAGGGGTAGATATCATGTTCATAGGGAATTATCATGCTTTTGCCCTCATATCCTGCTTCCAACTTTCATTTTCTGTATTTCATATAGAAACCATGTCTATAGCTTCTGCATTTCATATAGAAACCATGTCTGTAGGCTTCTGCACTTCTGCATTTTATAGAAATCCTGCCTATAAGTTTCTACACTTCTGCATTTGAAACTATAGCTTCTGCATTTCATATAGAAACCATGTCTGTAGGTTTCCGCATTTCTGCATATCACATAGGTAACATGTCTATAGGACTTCCTGAATTCTGCATATGCATCTATCACTAGGCAAATGTATTTATAGGTTTAAATAACAAACAGCATTCTAGACACCATGCCTATAGGACTTCTGCACTTTTATTTCGACTGTAAACGTTTTAAAATCATTAGCGCCTAGAAAGCATGCCTATAGGAACTATCAACTAAATCCGAATCGTCTATTTTGCCTATAAGTCTAAAAATCAGTAGTAGCAATGCTTAACATCTGTAGAATCTATGTTTTTAACAAGTCCTCTTCTTTAAAATCAATATACTTCTCTTCTGAAACTAATAGATATCATGCCTATAGGTTTCGTTCAACACTTAGGCAAGCCACAGGGTAACTTATAAATTGAATCAGATTTTATTAACGACAACCAGCAGGCATGCCTGATTCGGGCTTCTTATCTGAAATATGTAATAGATCAGTCTGCCACAACTCTTAAGTTTAATCCAACCCTAAACAGTACGTGTAAAGACATGCTAAACTATATGCTTCCCTTTGTTTTTAAGGAGGTTTGTTCGAGCCCTTTCTATCTGTTGTGTTTCTTCCCCATATTTGTTACATATGTGTTTTGATTGTCGCCTTAGAATTTTGTCCTTTGAAACCATAAAACCACATATCCCTTCCCTTTAGGATTAGTAGTCCCAAATACCTCCGGGGCTGATAGGATGGGGGCGGGTAATAGCATGCAATAAGTAAAACGAGACCATTCCGCGTTTAATACCTTAACGGGGTGGGAAAGGGTAGATATGGATATGATGACCACGCGATAACACCACGTGTATAAACGATTACCGGGTGTTGTGTGGGGTGATCCATATTATGTATAAACCTAGGACCCCCCCCCCCTCCCTTTACTTGCTTATTTTATTCAGAATTTCAAAAACTACTTTTTTCTCAAATTTCAGCTTCTTTGACTGCTTTTAACTTCAATTTACTTGCAGCAATTATATGAAATTTCTTCTCTTTTATTGCTTTTCTTCTCAAATTTCAGCTTCTTTAACTTCCTTTTAACTTCAAATTACTTGCAATAATTATGTGAAAACTCCCCTCTCATATTTGTAACTCTTATTTGTCTACTTGTTATTTGCACTTAAAGTCACAATTTAGTATGGCCGGGAACCACACTAGTGGATCTCGAGGGGTGCCTAACACCTTCCCCTCGGGATAATTTCAAGCCCTTACCCAATCTATGGTTTTCTAAATCAAAATTCCCCTTAGTGTCCTAATGCACTTAATCATTAGGTGGCGACTCTTCAATTCAAACCCAATTCCCAAAAGGAAACAAGTTGTCCTTCCAAATGTCATAAACCCGATTTCGCGAGAAAAAGGGGGCATCGACACCCTCTTGACTCAGGGATTCAAACTAGATCAAAGTTAAGAAACTCACTTGCCTTCTCATCATTTCTCTCTCAAATTGAGCCCAAAAATATCAAGGAAGCATTGAAAGATGCTAACTGGATTACGGCTATGCAAGATGAGCTCCAGCAATTTGAGAGGAACAGTGTACGGCACCTAGTTCCTCGACCTGCTGACAGAACTGTCATAGGAACCAGGTGGGTATTTAGAAACAAACTTGATGAGTTTGGAAACACAACAAGAAATAAGGCAAGTCTAGTAGTTCAAGGCTATAATCAAGAAGAAGGAATTGACTATGATGAAACTTTTGCTCCAGTTGCTCAAATGGAGGCCATCAGAATCCTCATTGCCTTACATCTCATATGGAATTCAAATTGTTTCAAATGGATGTCAAAAGTGCATTTCTGAATGGTTTTTCTGAAAGAAGAATTATTCGTCAAGCAACCACCTGGTTTCGAGTGCCATGAGCATCCTGAGCACGTGTTTAAACTTGACAAGGCGTTATATGGACTGAAGCAGGCTCCTTGTGCATGGTATTAAAGGTTGTCCAAATTTCTCCTAGAAAATGGCTTTACAAGAGGAAAAATTGACAACACCTTATTTCTGAAGAAACAGGGGAGGAACCTGCTCATTGTGCAAGTTTATGTTGATGACATCATCTTCGGAGCAACAAATGATTCTTTGTGTGAGGAATTGGCAAAACTCATGAGAAGTGAGTTTGAAATGAGCATGACGGGGGAATTGAATTTCTTCTTGGGTCTACAAGTCAAGCAAACTCCTAAGAGCACAATGATAAGTCAGCAGAAGTACATCAACGAGCTTTTGAAGAAATTTGTGATGGAAAGCTCAAAAATCATTGATACTCTCATTGCCACTGCCACTCGCCTAGACATGGATGAACCTGGTTCTCCTGTAAACGAGACCATGTATAGAGGTATCATTGGGTCACTCCTATATCTCACAGCAAGCAGACCAAATATCATTTTTAGTGTGGGACTTCGTGTCAGGTTTCAATCTAATCCAAAGGAGTCTCATCTGAATGCTGCCAAGAGAATCCTGAGGTATCTCAAAGGAACTGGACCCGGTTCCCTACTATCCCTCAGGAGATAATTTTGATTTAATAGGGTATGCTGACGCTGACTATGCTGGTTATCTCGTGGATAGGAAAAGCATTTCTGGCATGGCATATTTTTTGGGTTCGTGTCTAATTTCATGAGGCACAAGAAAACAAAACTCAGTGGCTCTTTCAACTGCAGAAGCTAAGTATGTGACAGCTGCCTCTTGCTGTGCTCAACTCTTGTGGATCAAGCAGCAGCTAGAAGATTTTGGTGTGTTTTCTGATTGTGTGCCCTTACTATGTGACAACACTAGTGCTCTCAACATGGCAAAGAATCCAGTTCAATATAAGAGAATAAAGCATATTGATGTGCGACATCACTTCCTCAGAGACAATGTTGAAAAAGGGCTCATCTGCATGAAGTTTTGCAACACAGAAGATCAAATTGCAGATATCTTTAAACAAAGCACTAAGTAGAGAGCACTTTGAAAAGAATCGCTTGGCACTAGGGTTGATGAAATCAAGCTAAGGACCGGGTCCCTCGATGATTGGATATGAAAGAAATGAACAGGTAAAATAACTAAAAAGTATTTTCTGGCAAAGTCTAACTCATCTCTATACCATTGCAGGTAGACACGCATGACGATTACAGAGCAAACAAGTAACTAATGGTATCGCACTTTGGTGAAAGGATGAGGCTCACATTTACAAAATCTGTCAGGGAACCTGATTCCCTTGACACAGGTTAGTAGTTCCTATGTACTCTCATGCACAACTTTTTAACGGCTAAAACGGTGCCACGTCATTAAAATGTCAGTTTCTCTTTTTTCCTCTTTTTGAACCCAAGCGTCCTACCCGTTATGAAATGATCCGTCTACCCAAAAATTGATACTTGTTCCTAACTGGTCCCTCACCCTTTTTAAATAAATACAAACACGGTCACTCTCATAACCGTTCACATCACAAGCCAAAATTCCCCTTTTCTTCAACAACCAAACACTCTCTTCTTCCATAAACTCTCACTACACTTTATCATGTCTGAAAATCTCGAAGCCAAAATTGTTCCAAGCATCATCCCCACTACATATTCTCCTGTTGAAGCACAAGTGACAGAGTCTACGACCCCTACGCCATCCAGTCCAAACCCTAAGCTAGAGTCAAAACCACCCACTGCCTCTTCTCCAACCCAATCAAGTATTGGTTCTCATCGGAGTCGCAAAACTTCAACTCCAAAGAAGTTTGTGGCTACAACCTCTCCTTCTGCCTCACCGAAAAAAATGGTCGAAGAAAATACGGTGGAGGGAGAAGAAACTCAGGAAATTTCTAGTTTGCCAGTGGAAGAAAGTTATGAGATACAACAAGGCGTAGGTCCTAATAGTGATGAATCAGCAATGACTACCCCAGACCTTGATTTGAATGTTGCCAATTCTATAGTTAATGCTCTTCCTATGTCTTCTAAGTTTACTTTGGGGTTGCAAGAACAAGAGGCTATAGAGAATATGCTGTCAATAGCTACTGAGGGAAGTCTGGTTGGTGGTTCTGAGGGTGTGTTTAAAACTAATGGGTCTCGGGGGGAAGGTAATAGTATACAGGTAGAGGGTAGGGAACGGGTGCCTGTCGAAACTTTGGCACCTGACAGTACTACTGGGGAACCAACTGAGGGACCTGATCCCTCTACCTAAGAGGAGCTCTCTGCTTCTACTTGGGATAAAACCCCTGGTTCTCCACAAGAACCCCAGGTCAGTACTGATCCCGCTCCCTCTCCTCATTTCTATACTGAGCCATTGACAATTGTTGTTCCTGAAATGAGATCTCTATCTGAGGAGGAGAATGAGGGTAGTGAAGAAGACTATGACAATGTGGCTCTTGCAAGCTTCATTAGTGCTAGGAGTAGAAAGGCAACTCTCAAGGAGTCAACTCCTAAGAGACCTACCACTAGGTTGCAAAAGAAGGAAACTCTTGAGTCAGTTCTAAGGAAAAACAAAGAAGAAAAGAAGAAGAGGAAATTGGTAAAGGATGGAAAGGTTTAAATGAGAAGGCAGTGCCTTCAGCACTGGTTGTTGATATTGATGATGAGGTGAATGAGGAACCTGGTTCCTTAGTTCGTAAGTCTCCAAAGAAACTTACAGTTCCAAAGTCCATGAAGGAGTCATATGTGAGTGAAATGGGTTTGAGCAATGTTGAGGATGTAAAATCTGGTGAGAGAGTAGTTGAGGAGTCTGATGAGAAAACGTCTGAGAAGGTGTCCGAGAATTCTGCAGACAAAGGAAAAAGTGTGAGAAAATCAGTGAAGCGGAAGGCCGGTGACAATGAGGAACTTGGTTCCTCCAAGAAGGCCATGGTGAATGTGGCCAAGTATGAGGGAAGGAAAATTTGAGAAACCAGAAGGTGTTGTGGGGCCGCACATTTGCCCCTGATATTCTTGACATGTAAGGAATGCGCCAACTAGCTAATATATGTGAATTCTAACAGTGGACACATTTGCTCACGAGTTAGAGTCCTAAAGTGTATGAGGCAGAGGTGCGTAGCTTCTATGCCAATTTCTTCACAGTCGAGGATGATAACATCTTTATGAAAGTGAATGGTGTTGATTTTGTGATGGATACTACTGTACTGGGAACCATCTTGGGAGTGCCTACTGGCGGAATGTCCTCTATTGAGAGGACTTGTTCTTCGAACTTCAGAAATGCTATCTTGAAGGATAAGCAGTACATCAAGGGGAACGGGTACACAAGAAGGCCCTCCTTCCAGTGTACCAACTTATGTTTGAAATGGTAAACAAAATTCTGCTCCCACGCGCAGAAAGATGTTCCATTACGTCACGAGCAGACTTGATTCTCATGGAAGCACTAGATGCCTACACCACTATAAACATGTCTGGTCTCATGATAGAGCATATAGAGAAGGTGGCAAATTTTAAGGATGGTAGTCATGGGTTGCCTTACGGGTTCCTACTCACTAAAGTATTTGAATTCTTCAATATCCCTCTGGGAAAGGCTAAAGTGGGTACACGCAAGCAAACATTCTCCAAGACCACCTTAGAAGAGGGTGAGTCCATCGATAAGAGGGGGGGTTGGTGGCAGTTCTACTATCTCTCAACTGATAGAGGCTCAGAACATTGCCACAGAAGAGATAAGGAAGTTGAAGTCAAGGAATGCCATTCTCGAAGGTCAGCTCAGTCAGGCCTAGGAGGCACCAGGTTGCAACAGCTCACAAGGTACAGAGGTTGCCCGTCTGAGCAAGGAAAATGTTGATCTCCGGAAACAGGTTGAGGACCTGAAGGAGAGGTTGCTAAATGAGCAGGTGTCAGCAAATGATCAAATGGACATCCTCCTTAGAACTCTTGCTTCTTCCTCTGCCTCCAGTACTCCCCGTTCCAGTGCTCCTTAGAGTTGTTCCCTTCCCATTGTCAAGTTCAAAGTGTCTGTATCTGTTTTGGTTTCCATGTGTTTAGATATGTTTTAATGGCTGGTACCTTTTTATTGTTTAATTTTGTGGGTGATTATGTAACATCTGGAACTGCTCCCTGTTTATTTCAAATATTAATTGAATATCCCGTCCTTTTGTTGTGCATGTCTCGCTCTTCTGCTGTCTTTAGTCATGTTTGTGTGCACACATGTGGCATAAGTTAACCAAGCTAGACTTCTTTTTGCTTATTACTTGCAACTGATCTTTTTATGATGTCAAAAGGGGGGAAAATAATTTAGGGGGAACAAGAGGGGGAACAGATTCAGGGGGAATACAGGAAATGCGTATGATATTCTGGTTCTCAAGGAGAACTTCAATTATAAGTTTGTCATCATCAAAAAGGGGGAAATTGATAGGTTATGCATCCTCTTATGTTTTGATGATCTAACAAACTTAATGTTAAGAACCAGATAAGGAACTTGTTCCACATCCTCAAGCACTCAAGAACAACAAGTCTCAAGTCAGGGACATGTTTCAACATTTCAGAGTCAAAGAAACAACAGAGGGAACATATGGACATCGTTCCCTTACTGACTGTACCAGTCAACCCCCACAGCTGTAAAGTCGCTGCAACTGTTTCTCTGCACACACACAACAGTGCAAACAGTGCAGTTGTCACATTATGGAGAATGCCCTTTTACTAAACATGTTTGCATCATTCAAGTGATGTCACCTATGTAATATTAACATGAAGCAACGGCAAAACATCAACTTGCACATTCTAGAATTGATCGAGCTTTCTCTCAAGTGTGTTGCAATCTTGCAAGTAACTTTCAAGGACATCAAGAACAAAGAACAACATAACGAAGGACCAGTTTCCTCCATTGAGTCATCACATGTCCTTAGTTGTGTTGCACCTTTGTTAAATTACTTTACTTGTAATTCCTACTTAGCTTAGTTAGAAGCATTGTGTAGGAAACCTTTTGTAAAATCATAAACCTTGTGTTTGTGTCTTGGCTAGAGTTGGTCGAGTTGTAAGTTTTGTAATAGAGTTATTACAAAGGGGCTTGTAATAGAGTTGTTACAAGTTAGTGAGTGATTAAGAGGTTAATTCCTAGATTACAATAGGTTGTAATCTGAAGTTTGCTCAGCAGTGAAGTTGAAATCCAACGAGGGTAGGTCCTGGTTTTTAATCCCGTGAGCTGGGAGTTTTTCACGTAAAACTCTATTGTGTCATTTACTTACTGTTGTGTGTGTGCATTAGGTGGGAACTAATAGAGTACCTGGCTCTCTATATAGTTTGGTGAACCCGTAGCTTCTATCATTGTAAAACTTGACTCGATAAAGAAAAAACATTATATCATCGACATATGCGAAAATAGCAGAGAGAAAACAACATTCACTTTATGTTTCTTAAAACAGATAAGACAAATATAAAAACTGCTTTCAAAATAAGAGGATTAATTTAGTCTAGTTGAGAATTCAAACATACTTGTTACTACGTTAATAAAAAGTTAAGAAAAAACAGATCTTTTTATACTAGTAAAGCAGTTCAGCATTTGTAAAATCCAAATAATTTTAATTAAACCGCAGCTTCTCTTAACAGTGAGATTGAATTTTAACATATCTACTATTTCAAAATATTTTTCAGATGAACCTCACTTCCAACAAGCGCTTACTACTGCAACATCAGACATCATTATTAAAACTAGCTATGAAGATTTTTAGGTGTTATTTATATTTGGAGAAATTATACCATGTAACTCTTAAAGTTAGTTTACTAATATCAGATAAATAACACCTTCTACTTTCATTTAAAAAAATAATGTGTTTACCCTCGAATCCGGATAACAATTGAATTTATATGGGGTTTTAAGGATCCGTGAACTAAAAGATACAAAAGGTTTTTAGGTTAAGGAAAATAAAGATAAAGACTCAACAATTGCTGTTAAAGTAAATAATCGCAGAATATAATATTGCTTAGAACAATTGTGCTTGATGATCCCCCAGAATTTAGAGATATCCCCTTTTATACATTCTGATTAAGGGTAAAAATAAGGTAGGTAAAT